GTATGCAAAGTTTCTTTAATTATTGACGACCAGTGAGTATAAAGAAACAATTTTTGATTCACACGAGCATTGGTAACGACGATTAAAGGTACAGTGAAATTCAAAGCACAAATCAACACACATACGCGTCGATTGTAGAAACTAATTGCTCCGAATGCCGCGATAATAATATTCCGTTAACAATTTTCTGAGGTTCGCGAGACAAAGGGTTTCGTAACGTTTCGAAAGCTCCGCCGAAAGTTCCGTACGAGCGATATTTCGCGCGGCGTCGTCGGGAGGCTTTTAAAAAATTTCGCCGCGCGCTCTCTGGCTCTGCAACTGCATCAACCGCTTTTAAAAATCCTTTTTCTAGTTACGGCTGCACGCCCGGCAACAAAACCGAGTTCCTCGTGTCTCAGAACCTCACCGAGGAGGAATTTCAAGACCATCCGACCATCAACTGGGACGCGATTTTATGGGTGAGAAGGCCCCTGGAATTGTGGGTCGTCCAAGTGATCCTGGCAATAGTATCACTTACGGAAGCCTTGCTGCTCGCCTATTTAGGTTACAAGGTACGCATTCCCTTTATTCTTGGAGATATCATTTTATGCATAATATTCGTTTTGGAAATCACGGCCGCTTGATGTTTACCGTACGAGATACCTTGTTACTTTATGCCTGCGCCGAGCAGAGAAACACGGCGGGACGCCGGAATGAAACGCAACGAAACTTTAAGTGCCCGCGCTACTTTTAACTGTCCATTGTTGATTCGTCTTTGTCCCGGGATCTCCGGTAAGTATATTGTACACGTTGCCTTCGTCGCAACGAAACTTACTGCCGAGGCACTCTAATTAAGACACGTCGGTTTTATTAACGCCGAGCCGGGGAACCTCTTAAGGAGTCATGCTCGGTTAGGAGTTTTAAAAAAAACAAGATGCTGTTCTTGGCGAAGTTTTTTCTCGGTACTTTTAAGACCTTTTTTCTGCCAATGCTTCTTTATTCGAGCTTTCTATTATTAATTGTAGCCTTTTTTTATATGAAAATATGCAGAAAGGTGTAAGTTATGGCAGTTCTCCTGAGGGTTTTCCAAAAAAAAGAACATTTATCTGAGATCATGTACGAAAAATATTCATTCAGTTGACAGTCTAAATTTGTCCTTGAACGAAGGATAGCCTAAATTTGTCCTTTGTTGCAAAAGCTGTAAGAAAACTGGTAATTTCTTTATTCCACGGAACTGTCTTGCAGCATAGTAATCTCTCTCTCTCTCTCTGCAGTTTAACTTTTTTCGCCGATGTACCGGCACTCCTCTCACCATTTTTAGCGCTTTTTGGATTAAAAATTTGTTCCCGCTTTCTCGGTCTAATAAACTAAATTACACGGCAAAAATTTTCTAGTCCTTCAAAATAGCAGCTATACTCGCCTGGACCATAAACTTTCGGAGATCTTAAAGTCCTAGCTCTTAAATAATTAGGCGACTCGCCTTAGTATCTCCGTCAAGTTTCATCCGATTACAATAAAACATTCAGAGAATATTCTCGAAACTTCCACGAACAATCGAAACCTAGAAATTGATCTTTTTAAGGTTTCTGACTGAGCATGATTCTTTAAGATAACGCAAAGCTCTCGAAGATTTAGTTATATTCTGTTATGTTTTGTAGTAAAAAGACTGCGGATCTTCATGGAATTTGTTGCAAATTGGCTGATAGCCTAACCCATAAGTCAAGAATACAAAATTCTTTTCGGTATAGCGATTCGCAGAAACCGTTTCAAATCGGAACACGATCAATTGTTATAACACTTCACAGTTTTACAAAGTTGCAAATTTCGCCGCGTACGTTTCACAAGCACAATTTCACCTTGAAAATCAATTTTCGTTGCACATGCGTTTTTTTTCGAATCATTTCACGATATCACGTTTCCTCTTCCAAATGTACCTCGAATTTTTTGTTCCCATTCGGACGAAAGTTTCTCGAATTTCAAATCATGAACTGTGCACAGTCAAATTGCAGAAATCAAACACGTCCGATATTATACGCGTACCGTTATTACAATGGGATCGGGAGGTTAAAAACGGCGTTAACTGTCGAGACCAGTGAACAAAGACCATTTCGATCTTTTGTGCGACGCGAACGTTTTTGGTGGATCCGGCTGTTTTAGCTTCTTTTTTCGATTAAATCCAGCGAGAGGAAGTTGTCGGACGCGGAACATTTTTCCTAATTTTACATTGCACAGTTTTTAAT